ACTATACCTTCTCTTTTTGGGGTAATTTCATTGTCTTTTTATTTGGTTATCGTCTAACCCTGTACCCTTTGCTCTCATTCAAATATTTGTTTATTCACGTAGTTATTGTTACCAAAGAAAGATGGTAAAAATAATGACAGCCTACCTCTTCTTTCTCTATATTTGGACGTCTACAAGGTTATTTACTCAGCAGTCTTGTTAATTTGTGTGTATTTAATTACATTATCCATAAAACTGGATAGGTTTTAGATTATTGAAATCTGTTCTTCAAGTGGCACCTCAATGTCAACATACATTTGACAAGACCTCTGAAGTCTGAACCCAATTTACCCTCACAAAAGTTGCCAAAAAGTAGTTATTTGCTTGAGTTTTGAAATCCAGATTCGATCAATAGACCTGCTTAGGAAGATGAGAATGCGTTTTTAGAAATGAAAAATATTAATGTAGCAAATTTACTCTTCTACAATTGTGCCTTTCGATCTGATGAGCCTACCACAAAGTGGGATTGTTTGGTCCTAAGATATTGAGATCGATCCCACTGTTTTGAGTAATAAATTGCTTCTATTGAGTTATAATTGACTCTAGAGTCGTAACTTAACCATAATTGAGTTATAACTATCCCCAATTTATTTGAAACTTCCCATATAATACCTTATTCGATGTTGTAGTCCTTCCATATAATATTGATGACCAGTTTGTGAATGTTTGTATTTTTTTCCCAATAGTGTCTTACTGAATTGTGAAGTTCACTACAGGTCCACATTCAACTTCCCTTTTCTTCATCTAATTAGTTACTTGTGTTTGACGTGTTGGCAATAGTTTTGGTTGATTTTTTCCTGTTGAGAGTTGCTGAAACACTTGGGATCATTAAGTAGCACTACGAACATCAACCCAGGTTCCCCCTCCCTCTCACTCACTTCTCATTAACTAGCTTTGTTGTTTTGAATAAATTAACCACCCACAATTTTTTGGGGCGTAAAATCGCCATCCATGTTGTCCTAGGAGACTTCAGATCAGATGTAAGAGCCTTGCAAATTCTATCTTTATTTACGGCATTTCTAACTTCCAAGGCAGGTTTTCCTCTTTTTCTTTTCTCACTTTTCACTCCAGCCACCCATGGCTTTCTTAAAATTCTCAATTGAATTGTATTGTACGCTTTCTCCACATCCAATGCGCACATTATTTTCACTATCAGAGTATAGAAGATTGACAGTTTTGAATGAAAATTGTATTGTAAGTTGTTCTCATTCAATGTTATATGCCTTAGTTGCCTATGCTATGCAATAGAATCTGTTAAAATTTATGACTTGCCTATGCATAGCAATAGAATCTATAAAACTTATGACATGGATTGTGGCCGTCAAGTAGTGCGACTCTCACTTTAACATGTGTTTCTTCCTTTTGTTAATGCTTTGCAATTAAATGTATGCATGGTATATACACTGTTTTCCTCTCCGAAAGAAAAGTTTTCATGACTTTCACATAGAATTCTATGGCAAGATGCGGAGCTAGCAAACGTTCAATCAAAAGCAGAACATGAAAGGAATGATTTTGCTACTTCAGCAAATTTTAATTTCCATTATTGACATCTCTTCTTGATTGAATTGGTGTTCTTTGAAATTTCGTGTTCCATTTGGTGATTATGAACTTCCTTGGATAAAGAGGGTGACTTTAGGCCTTCAATAATTTTGTTTCCTTCAATAACTATAGGACTTTAGACCTTCACATATGAGATTTGTACCTGTTATTTGATATTTACTTGATGACAGTGAATATGAAGTGTCCTGTATCAGTATAAAAAAAAACAGCTTTGAGTAGTTCAGAAACTACTCAAATAAGCTGAAATCATCATAAACCACCACCAGTTCCACTCTCCGAAACGCCACAAATACTCACCACCTGCACCTCTGCCAAATCCACCAACATTCTACTAGCTGAATAGAGTATATAATGGTGATACCACGGCATTATTGACACATGATATCGTCATCTGGTGCACTCACTTTCCTAAAGATTTATAATACCGGCCTCAAACATAAATCTCATAGAAATGTTTGGAATAATTGAGGGGAAACATTACTATTATTTAACTAATTTAAGGTTACTAAACATAAATGCTTTCTTCTGTTCTTGAATACCTAACAAAGTCCTTTGAATTTGGTCATGCAGGGTACCCAAAAATACAATTTAAACCAGTAACTAGAATCATTATTTAACTAAACAAGTAGTTCAATAATTAAGAGTAAAAACTAATCTCACTTCTAACAGAGTTTCCCCCAACAGTAACAAAAGTAAAGCCCATAGAGTTTTCCCAATGCAAACAAAAAGCAAAGCCTATAAGATTTTCCCAAAGCAAAATAGGAGAAACTACAGTATGATTCAGCTATGCATTGTATAATAATGAAAAAAAGTTTAAACGCTTGTTGTGATCTGGTGGGGGTGCAATGTCTTCAAAGTACTCCTACAAATTACGCTTAGAGTTTGCACATGATGCTTAAAACCATGGGATTGTTGCTTTCCTGAGTTGGGTATGATGGGTCTGGAAGTTGCTCTCAGATCCGAATGATTTCTAAAACTCTGACCCTTAAGAGAGAGAGAAAGAAAGGGAGAGAGTATTGACATATTGGGAGATAGTTCTGCTCAGATTTGCTACTGGCTCCTAGAGATCAAATTGATGTGTAATCAAAACTGTGATGATCTCTGACAGACGTTTGAAATTAGACTACATAGACATAAATTAAGAATCTTAAAGACTAATTAAATATAATTAAAAAATTGAGGACCAAATAAACCTTAAAGACATACTTTGTAGACTCAAAGTGTATTTTACCCCTAAAAGGTCTCAACAAAAATAACGGATTTGTCCTATTGCGCGTGTAAACAATTCTGGCGACCAGTGCAACATGATCGTGGCGCAGGATTATTCTCTCTACCCCACTACTTTTGTCTGCCCCAACCAAAATCAGAACCGACCCTTTTGTACCTTATATTCATAATCAAACAAAAGATTAAAAGCAAAAGTTTGGGCTGAGCTAGAAATGTAGTCTGGACCTTATTATGTTTTGCTAAAATCATGACCCTCCACCTATTTTCCCTCTGATTGTATTAGATTTAGAGTATCATGTCACTATCGGATCACCTATGTTCCCTCTGAGTATTATGTTACTATCAATAAAATTCAGTTTATTTATCCGAAAAAAAAAAAAATACTTCAACACTACTCCCATTATTCTATATTCTCTGATGATGATTGATTTAAGTCTGAGCAGCCCACTTAGAGTCCAAAACATCCAGCGGGGTCATTAAAGAAAAACTCAAAAGACCCATCTACTTAGTGTCTGACACATCATGGGACTGGGCCACAACCAGAGCCGTGGAAGCCTTGAATCATCCAACTCGGGATATAGACCAAACCAGCCCCAACAAGCTCAATGGTAGATACCTGCTCGGGAATCAGGAGCTCAACACAAGACGGACCTCAAGTAACATAATACTTAAGTGACAAATTGTCCTACAACTTAAGCTTTTTGAGTGGGTGTTCGTATAACAATTTTGACCAAGTAACACTATTTTTTTTTTATCAAAACAAGAAATAACCATTTCAATTAAGTAGGGAAGTTTAGATTACAATCAGTCAAAATAAGAGCCTTAAGCTCTGGAGGGGGAGAACCAACTCAGCCCAGTGGGAGCAAGTTGTTCATAGATGAGGATAACGTTGTCCAAAGGGCCCTTAACTGTAAATTTTAATACCGAAATCGGGACCTTAATCTTGTCTTAGATTCATTCCAATGTGTACTTGTATAAGCACGTAGATTGCATCAAGTTTCCAAATAAACAAGTTAAAATGCCGGGGCACTTGTGCCTGGCCTTGGGTACCATGCTGATTGCTAAGAGAAATGCATAGCATTTACATGAGAACTGTCCCATGGCTCTGTGGATGCAGCTCCCTTCGCCAGTTGAGGCTGACGTTCCTGGCCCGCCCTTGTTTTCCGATTGTCACTAAACTATTCCAAGGGAGATGGAGCGTCTCAATAATGCCACCTATCAACCAAGCACCCACATGCTAACCATAACTATTCATAGGAAAACACTAAAATGCCGAGTTTTGTACTTACGATTCAAAGAGTACTAGATCGATCTCAACCTTTTAGAATTGTTCATAAACGACACACCCGTTGAATCATAATTTGGCTTGTCTGAACCATAACTAGACTCGATTAGATAGGAAAAATGCCTAAAAATCTAGTACTCTTTGGTCTTTGATAAAAAAATTAGAAAAAAATTCTATCAGATTAAACAAAATCAGTAAAAAACTCCCTTGATGGTCATACAAATTATTAACTGATTTAGAATAATAATCGGGGGAAATCAAAAAGGCATGTCATTGGATCATCAAATTTGCTCAAGAAAAGCCAAACGGATAGCAATTTTTATTAGTAAAAAACGAAACGTCAATCACAATACTAAAGATACTAATAATGTTAATGCTGATCAAACCTAAAAGTAAAACTCCATCCCTACCTACACAAACGTACAAGGGTCTTCCATCTTTAAATATGTGGAGTGGAAAAGAGACAAGGAGGTGAATTGATATGGGTTACATCAAACAAGCTCTTGAAATGGAAGTGAGGTGGACAAAAGTGAAAATCTTCCATAGCGAACACTAAGAATGCTAAGACAATTGACCGAGATCACATAGATAAAGCATACAAGTTAATACTTTCGATCATGATATAGAACACATCAATGTGAAATTTGCGTGCATGCACACTGAGAGCAGCTGACCAGAAACCCGACTAACAAACAACTTTGTTTTGATTACACACATGTTCGACAAAAATACACTTCACATACCAATATTCCTGTCTGGGAGCAGGAATTCATCACACACTGATCACCTAAAGTTGCAGACATACATATGAGTTTTAGATTCGACAGGATGAAGAAAGACGTGAATCACAAGGAAAAGAAAACACGATAACTAAAAGGAAAATGTCTACCCCATGATGTGCTGTCCAGTGCCAACATCTGACCAATTCCTCAACCTTCAGCAGGAACCTAGGGAATGAGCTTTGTAATCTTTCTCCCAATTCTTCCCATTCATGTGCAGCTGGATGGATACCAATAATCATGTCTAAACTATAACCTAGTTCCTCTTCCGACATTTCTCCACCGCCCTTGGAGCTGCACGCAAAAGCAAAAAACAAGCCTCTGAAATGTCAAATGCCAAATGCCATTATATTGACAGTTAACTAACCAAATTGATTTTAAGGAAAGATAACTCAACAATGGGAACCTAAATATGCACATATCAAGAGTAAGTGGTAAAATGGAAACAAAATCTGCAAAAAAGGTTATGTATTTCTGTTCTGATAATCTGTGAGGACCCGATGTACTAATATGCCACAAATTCGATTGAAATTTGAAAAGCTGAATACTATGTACATATTTTTAGTAACTAATAAAAGATTGAAAAAAAAAAGTTTTTCTCACCTTTTTTTTTTTCCTTTTCTAGGGGGAAAAGAATTTCTATCCTTTTTGCTTTTTCCCTCATTTCCTTTCTCTTGCAAAGCTTTTGTTGAAGGCAGAAGCGGTTATTTTACTGGCGTTGAGTTTCACGATGGAGAGCAAATAAGCTTTTGTAACTTTCTGCCAAATGGAGGGTTCTTAGCCTTCTCTCTCTCTGTGAATTCTTCACTGCAAATCAAACACTCCGTCGTCGTCGTCATCATCATCCGTGTCTTTCTTTCTTTATCACTAAAGCTGATCCAGCAGCTACTTCAGGTAAGTGTAAATCTCTTTCTCTGAGCTTCACTTTCTACATTTCTTCTGTGTTCAGGCCTTCTATTTTTCACGCTGTGCTTTAGGTTAGTTATTCCTTGTAATTACTTCAGATATTGAGTATGTTTTGGAGATCTAAATCTCCTTTAAGAGTTTTGATTTGGTTGGAAAATGTTTGGTCTTTTAGACTATGAACTCTTCTACTTGATAAATTTCCTGAGATTTATGACTATTTGAGAAATATGTTTATGGGTTAGTACCTACCTATATGTCTGCGATTGCGTGCACAAACTGTGGGATAGATATTCATTGAGAATTGGTTGTTTGATTTTGAGCCCCTTGCAGTGAATTGGAATTTTTTTTTTTTAAGTTGGTTATATCTTTGGCAATTTATTGTTCCTTAATACTTGAAATGGTCAATTTTTACTCACTCTTGGCTTTATCCCTTAATGGTACTGTCTTTAGATTAGAAGATTTCAACTACTTTAAATGATTGTTACTGTATAGGCTACTTTTACAATTATCATGAATTTGGGTTTGTGTACTGTTTGTATTTTGGATTGGTGGCTTTTAGAAGATAATTAGGTTTAGATATGTTGATTACTGTATAGGAGAATCTTGAGATTGTAATTCTGATAGTTTTTATGGGATGGTCTGTTTTAGACTGGCCAGTTTATCAAATTTGTTGGCTTTCTCTTTTTGGAGTTTGGTTCTTATGTTGTTATTTTCATCTTGTTGGTCTTCTGTTTGAATTTTCAGATTAAAAGGATAGAATTGAGTCAATTGCCTTAAATAAGCAAGTTTGGGCATATAGAAAAGAAAAGGAGTTGGGAGTTTTGTTCGAAATTGTGATGTCTCCGCCACTGCTTGGTGCTGGGGAGGAAGCGAATCAGAGTAACATCACTTTGTTGGCTTCTCCGGCCTCCTTGGGCCGTAATATATTTCATAACATCTCGGGACTGAGAGAGCATAACTACATGGGGTTGTCTGATTGTTCTTCCGTAGGTAGCTCTACAATATCCACCACATCGGGAGACAATAATGGCTGTCTGAATTTGAAGGCCACAGAATTGAGGCTTGGGCTTCGTGGATCCCAGTCTTCAGAGAGGGATTCAGAGTTTTCCTTGCTGTGCTCGCCAAATCTCGAAGAGAAGCCACTTTTTCCTTTGCATCCTTTGAAGGATGGTAATTATTTGTTATCACATAAGACGGTTGGTCCTGGCAACAAAAGGGGTTTCTCAGATGTTATGGAGGGTTTTGCAGAGGTGAAAACAAAGCACTTACTGATGAAATTGGATAATTTCTTGTAGTTGATCTGACTCTGGAACTGCTTAATTTGTTCCAGAGAACATTTCTTGTCAGTTCGGAGGTAAATGTGATACTCTCACCCAGGCCTTCGCTGAACTCAGTTTTGAAATCAGGTTCTGTGAAAGAAAACACTGGAACCCAACCAACCAAAACAAAAGAAGTGATTTCCAAGAACACAGCTCAAGAGAAGCCTCGCACTATTAGTGAGATCGTTGCAGATCGCGTTGGCACTGCAAATAACAACAGCAGTGCACCTGCTACAAAGTAAGTGCAGATGATTTAAGAAGAGGGTATGTTGAGAACATTAGTAGTAAATGTTGAGGATGCTCTCTGATCTTTCATTCATGACAGGGCACAGGCTGTGGGTTGGCCGCCTGCTAGATCGTTTAGGAAGAACACATTGGCTTCTACTTCAAAGAATGCTGAGGAAGTTGATGGAAAAGCAGGACCCGGTGCAATGTTTATTAAGGTCAGCATGGATGGTGCTCCTTATCTAAGGAAAGTGGACCTGAGATCATACTCTGCATATCAGGAGCTCTCTTCTGCCCTTGAGAAGATGTTTAGCTGCTTTACCATAGTTGACTTATTTTACAGTTTCAAATGGTACAACAATCGTAACAAATGGACGCAAGTATTGAGTAATGGATATCATCCTTGTCTTTTGCATGGGTACTGTTACTGCTCTTTTGGTATGATATCAGGTCAGTATGGGTCTCATGGACCTCCAGGGCAGGGATATGCTGATTGAGCGCAAGCTGAAGGATTTGCTGCATGGACCTGAGTACGTCCTTACTTATGAGGATAAAGATGGGGACTGGATGCTTGTTGGTGATGTCACTTGGAGTAAGCTCCGATTCCTTACATTTGTTCTGTTAATTGTTCCTTCTTGATGCCATAGATTTTACTGATGATTGATTGGGTACGCAAATATGGTTTCTGTCACACTAGTATGATTTCACTACTTTTCAGGGCTTAAAAGAAAGTGACAAAGTGGCTAGTTTTGGACGGGCTGCCTTGGGACTATTAGTAGTGTTAGCGGCCATAGAAGCAATGGTCTATAATTGCTGAATGAAATGATAGATGCAAGAATGTTTCTTAAAACTAAGAATAATAGCTACAGTTATTGTTGGTAAAAGAGAATCATAACTGAGCAGACCTGCTTTGTACTAAATGACAGTAGCAATCGCTCAAGGAAACCATGTGGGAACAATCTTATCAGGATGTATGACCTGTAAATCACTTGAAGCAATGTTCATAGTATATTTGTACAGTATAAGGAAGGCAATTTGAGATTTATGTGTGACAAGAATTGGCTGTGTCATGGAGATGGCACAACCACTATATTTTGTTGTGATTCTATAGCTGTCTGATGGCTAAGTGTACAATTTCAAACTGGTAATCAGAAAAATGAGAGACAACAACTAGATCATATCTTATAAGTGCATTTACTAATTGGTCTTCGATGGTTGGTGTCAGGTAAAACCTAACAGTTTCTTAAGAAGGATATACTAAGAGACACTTAAAACCCCTTCTAGGTCAGGTTGTTTAATAGTGCACTAAATATTCATTTCTTCCATCGGCGCCAATTTTCCAGGGTCCACATCCAGGAGCATGAAAAAAATAGTGGCAGTTTTTTAGTTTACCTCAGTTTTATATGTGCCATTTTTGCCATACTGTAAAGTGTAAATGTATATATGTTGATTTTCAAGGTGTAGGTGCAGAATATAGGCATTGATGAACATTATGGTAATCTTGTAAGTACATTCATGGAAAGGGAAAATCATTGTGGTTTTATACAGAATTTTAAGTACATCGACACATATTTTGGAGTAATCTAAAAGATGCTAGACAGGGCACGCCGACAGTTGTCTGACTTGCCAATCGCTTATAGGGAGGGATTTACTTGTGGTTGGAGGTTCAATGTTACTGTTATTCTTGCAGGAATATATTTGTATTACTATACAATTCATACCAGTCTCCACCTCCCCGTATGATGAAATGGGCTTCCCTTTTTTTGGATGGGTTTTCTGGCAATATCCTGACATAAAATTTTCATTTTGAGATCTTTCTATAGTAATATTACTCTATTACTGATTTACTCTATTGTCTCAGTTTTATCATCTATCACCTTGTACACTTCACTTTCATCATTTTTTGCTTCTGCTGAAACAAATAGAACCTTGGTGATGAAGTAAAACATTGCTGCTGCTTATATTTATATCTTAATGAACTAAAAATTGCATCAACATTGACAAATTAATGCTGTCCTGAGTGTTCTTTAATGAGTTGCATAGTGTACATGCAATCTGATTGCTGTTTTCACACGTGATAGGATGTTTATTGGCACATGCAAGAGTCTAAGGATCATGAAGGGTTCTGATGCCATTGGCCTTGGTAAGTATCTATATATTAGTAAATCGGGGTCCTCGTAGATTATCAGAACAGAAAACATAACCTTTTTTCCAAATTTTGTTTCCATTTTACCACTTACTCTTGATATGTCCATATTTAGGTTCCCATTCTTGACTTATCTTTCCTTAGAATCAATTTGGTTAGTTATCTTTCAATTTTCACCTTATTGATTTGGCAATGTTAATGGCATTTGACATTTCTTAATATAATAATCTAATTGGGGATCATCAACTAAATTTGTGCCATCAAGGCTGTGGGAAACAATATGGAATAGGTAGAGAATTTTGTAAAAATCTAGTCAGATGTGTCAAGTGAGAAGTAACATGGAAAAATCATTCTCTTCTTACTTCGAGAGAAATTTTTTTCTGTCAATATGAGAAATTTTTTTAAAAAAAAATTCAGGGTAAGAAAATGTGGTAGTTCTTCCACTGCCCCTTTCCCCTTGTGTTGACTTTTGTTTTGTCACGAACATTTAACACACCACGACCCAAAAATTTAGTAATTTCATAAGAATGTTTAGTTAGACAAGGCATATGCTCTGCGGCACCTTAGTGTGGCGGAATTGATATGGTGTCCAAATGCAGCCAGCATGCGAGAGATAAATCAAATGAAAAACTGTGTATTTTAATCTTTTCAATATTCATGGGCCCCCAAATTAACCAGAGAGAAGCATGGTCAATTTTGCTATTAGGTTGTATTTTCCATTTTGTTTACTGGCAAGCATTCAAGTCATATCACTTTTGTATATTAGGATTGTTTTGGCAATGCTCGACTATGTGCTGGTTTTCATTTATGCAAGCTAAATAGATTTTAAGGAAAAGAGGCCATGGAAACAGAATATGAACTATCCAGTTATGTTTCAGTTTATCTGTGATATCAGCCAAATGGACTAGATTATGCTTGTTACCATGCATCTTGATTGCTTTGATACTAATGTTACCTTGTACTACAAAAAATAATGACACATTAACTCGTGCAAGTGACTTTGCTCTTCATAGTCTAGGTTTCACTAATTTTAACTTTTAAAGTATTACAAGATAGGGGTCCCTTCACCCAGCCCAGTATATCCTCATTTGTAAACATGAATGATCACATAAATTCTAGGATTGATTAACTTTTCACACTTGATAGTTTACAATGGTTCCAACTTTGGTCCTTGAATTTATATTTTTTTGGAATTTTGTCCTCCAATTTTCAATAGGTATTAGTTCAATCCAATCAATTATTTTCGTAAAAAAAAACACTTAAACTGACAATGACATGCATCATCATGGAAAAATTTTAGGTGTGCATCTTGTAATGGACACTTGCCCTTTCCATGAAAAATTAAATGGCACAACATGTACTTTTCTTGTTATTTATTGGGTAAATAAATGTTATTCCAAAAATTAGAGGATGGATTGACAAGAAAAACTTTGTGATCCAAAGTGGGTTTCGTTGAAATTCCTGGTGTGAAATTTGCAATTAACCCAAAACTATATTGTATCCATGCGATGAGAAAATAATCCCTAGTGCTCTGGATATGAATGCCCTATTGGATTTTCCTTGAGCTTTTTTATTTTAATGATTATGGTGTATTTTACAAAGGTGAGATTTTAAGGATTTGTTTGATAAACTTTATATGTAGAGTTAGATGATTTATGTTTGATTGATTTGGCTCGTTATCTAGCTATAATTTTTTTTTTTTTTTGATGTTTTTGGAATGTTTTTCCAGGAAGAAGCAGAATGTGTTGGCCTTCACGTCATAGCAAGAGTAAATTTAAACCTTCCTTCTCTTTACATCAATGCCTATTACATATATAAAAATATTTACATGTGCACCAGCTGATGCATTTGTGTGTTTGTAAATGGATTATTTTAGGGTCATATATTATATATTAGTGTTGTAAAGGTTAGCAAATGTTTCATTATTAGGATCTTCACAAAACGTGGTCCTCTACTATATATACCCAAAAATTAAATGTGTATTCAAGTCATGTAGATAAGTAACTCAATTATTTTTCCATGCTTAAGATAGTGTTAGGAATCTTATGTAGGTGTCAACTTCACAGCTAAAGCATTTCACATTGTCAAATGTTCACCCAAAGCTAACAAAGCGAAAAATAACAAAAACCAAGATCAAATTTTCACCTAGAAACTCGAGAATTAGTAAATTAAATAAAAGAAGTATAAAAACAATGTTGTTTTTATGTTGTGACCAGTCTTATTCTACTTTATGTCTTCAATTGCATTAATCATTCGGTGTTTTTTTTGTGTCATTTGTTTGTCCATTTCGAGAGTTTTCAATTGTTTTAACATGTTGTTCAATAAGCCTTGTCGTTGCTTGGGCGTTCTCATTTACTTTGTGTATTTTTATCAGAAAGAAAGTACTGCCCACTTTCGGTTACTAAATTTGGAAAAGTTACAATTGTACTATTGCAACTGGCCATATATTAATCATTATGTATCAAAGAGAATTAATCGAAGTAAACATTTGGATGCAGTAAGAATGAACAATTTTTCCTTTCCCTTTGTTGTGGGAGGGGTGGGTGTTATTCATGAATCATCACTCATACAACATAACTTAACTTTAATCATAGTAATGCATGGGCCCAACATCTTGATAAGAATCAAATTATAAGTGATGATCCATTTTAAATTTTGATTCCATGGCTTGATCAAGACCAATGTTGTATGAGACGGAATGTTGGCAACTAGGAAACAACTTAATGACAAAATGAATGTAGTAGAAATAAGAATGTTAATGTGGAGTGTGAAAAAACAAGAAAGAATAGAATGCAAAATAATTGTATTACAGAAATGGTAGGAGTAGCTCCAATTGAAGACAAGTTGCGAGAGAATAGATTAAAATAGTTTGGTGATGTTCAACGGAGGCTGATAGATACATTGATTAAAAAAAGTGATAGAATTTCTTTTAATGGTATTAGGAGTAGAGGTAAACCTAAATTAACATTGAATGAAATAATAAGAAAAGATATGAAAATATTTAAATAGTGCATGACCGAAATGAATGACAAAGATGGACTCATATAACGGACCTCAAATGATTGGGACATAAGGTTCGGTTCGGGTTGGTTTGGCTTGGCTTGATCAACATATAGTACACAAAATAGTGTTGGGAAGAGCACACATCTAAATAGCATAATCAATTGCTCTATCAAAGGGCAACTTGAGATTGTTATTGTGGGGTTAGATGTGTACCATTGTCTTCATGATTTATCACATAACTTGATGCAATGAAATTGAAGTCAATGATTTATCACCAAACTTCATGAAACTTTACTCTGGCAAAAGCAAAGACAAAAAACTGAATATCAATGTATTGATGTTGCACTTTCTACACAGAAGAATTGTTAGAGTCTATCTTCCCCTTGCATGTTTCTATGTGAGCCACAAA